GATAGGTTTGTCCCCAACATCTCAACCAACTGCTGCCTCTCAATTTCAAACTTAGGACGTCCTCTTAGACCAGTGGTTCTCAACTGGTGGTTCGCGAGCCAAAAGTGGGTCGCGGACCCGTTTCAAGCGGGTCGCAGATGCGTGAGTAGAAAGAAAAAAAATTTGGGTAATTTTTTTCTTTTTCTCTTTTTTTTTTGGGGGGGAAAAAAAGTCAAACTTTTATTTTGAAGACCCGATTTTCTAACGCTGTGCATGCAGTAGGCGTTGGACTGGAAGTACCGGAGACCATGAACGGTTTTTAAAACGTCTGTCACGTAGTCACCATCTTCTCAATAAAACATCTTTGCTGATGTTTTGTCGAGTCTTCTGTCCAATCAGAATCAAGATTGTTGCCGGAAGTCCCAACGGAGAATAACTTTGCGGTAGAACTATTCTTTATACATCCATGGGTACAACTTCAGATAAAAATGAACACATAATGAAATATGACCCCAGTCTGATGATTGACAGGTCACAGAACAATGGTGGCTATCTACCCTTACCCACAATTTAAAGTACTTCACACAGACTATCTCCTCTTTGCTATTCTCTCTGAGTGGAGCAGCAAGCTGTCAGAACAAAGTGAAAAACAAACAATAGCATAAAATATTATTAATATTTTCTTCTCAGAGTGTACCAGAATGGGTAGTTTATATGTTACTATTTCAAAAAATCCCCCCAGACCCCCCTGCTGGGGTTGGGTTTTCAGCATGTGGGCCTTTTTATGTTATGCAGTTCAGCTATGATTCCATGATCTCATTAAATCTTTTTTAAAAGCATACTTTAGTTCTGTGAAGGGATATAAGGGATATATGCACTGTACTTCACTTTAATTAATAATGTATGCTGAAAAGAGTATATTTTACTGCACGATTTTTTGTTGAATAGATTTGAGTGGTTAAAAATTTCGGGTCACGATCTATTGACTAAGGAAAAAGTGGGTCCCGAGGCCTGACCAGTTGAGAACCACTGGTCTAGGCCACTATAATGTTTGTTGCATTTTTCCTTTATTAAAAGGTGACAGCAGACAGACAGTAAAAATGAGGAAAAAGAGAGAAATATTTGAGTCCCGGGCTGAGTAGCTAAATTGAAAAAAACTTTAGATAAATTTAGCCTTAATGCTACGCCACTCAAACCGAATCACAAATGGAGTCATTAAGAGTTATAAAGTCAGAAAAATATGTCTCAACAATATCTAGAACAACAGCAACATTGACCTAAAATTCACCAACATTAATAAACCATTACTTATTATTATTATACTCATTAGCTTAGCTTAGTTAGCATACTTGTGACCCTACTATATCATACGCTTACTGTAGTTAACATAACATTAGCTTACTTTACTTATCATACCACTGGCTCAACGTAGTCATGATATATGTTACCTTTCTGTATTAGTTTACTTTTTTTTTGCTTAGCGTTACTGTAGTTATCATATTTGTTACTAGAAAAAGTTTTTAGCTTAGTGTGGTTACAATACCATTAGCTTAGACTTGTTAGCTAACTTTATTTTAATACTAGTTACTGCAGTTATTATTATACCATTGACTTACTATTGTTAACATACTTGTGAACTTACTGTATAATCAGTGTATAACGTTACTGTAAGTTAACAAACTCCATAGACTGAATATACAGTCAATTATACAATTGTTAACATGCTGTATTGTAATACAATTAGCTTACTGTATCACTCATTACATTTCTGTCAGTCACATTCAAATTATCTTCTGGATTTAATACATAGTTGTATTGTGATGTATATTGTATTGTTATTGATATCAAACTTGTTATGACACAGACAACTCTGCAGGCTAATTACAAATCTGTATGTTCTGCAAATTTAAGGATTCACAATTCAGCAATTTGGAGGATTGCCTCTTAATTTAGAAGTGTTAGTATGCTGCAGCTTTTCTCAGTGGATTCCCTGTAGTGATTCCCCAGCTGTCTGCATGTCATACATCTCATCTATCCTGCTTTCCTTCCCATTGTCTCACATGTACATTTTTCCAACTCAGACTGCTCAGGACACAGGTTAAAATAATATCAGTCAAAACTATGGAATCTTGATATTCACAGTAATCATTTTGGAAAGAGTGTGTCTGAATAAAGAGACTAACTGCGTTGACGTGTCATTCGTTTTTCACAATATTATCAGGCCCACTACATCATCTCTGGAAATAGCTGACAGCTAGTGAGCGCTGAAGAATAGAGAGCAGTAATCGACTGAGTCTATTTTTTTAATAAGGAGAAAATATTTACACAAAAAGTCTGCAGCTTAACCAAAACTACAGCAGCTGGAGAACTGCAAACCTTCTCTTGCAAGGATTCAAGATGGAGGCCTGTTTGTTTTGACAAGGTAAGTCTTCTAATCTCAGACTCTACATTTGATTAGGCAGACAGTATAGACATTGTGCAGCGCAACATCAACATGATCTGTGGAGCTCAGTGCTTCTTCTACTTCTGACATGCGCTGTCTACTTAAATCAGGAGAACAAAAATGATTTTCTTAATTTCACTGTCAGTTAAGAAACATCCTTTTCTTCCAAGATGAGCTTCAAATTAGACCTGTCGTGATAATCACCGTATTTAGGTGAGTGGGATTTATGGGAAGTGGCAGGACACATTGATGAGCACATTGTCAGTGGTCCTGATATACACAGCAAGCAGAAAGTCACACAGGAGCACCACCCTTAGACAACACACTGAACACACAAACACACACTAATAGGCTAATGAGGAGGATGTAACGTGAAGAGGCTCTGCTCTATCTCTGTAAAACAGCAGCTAGAGATGCTCTCATCTAATCCTGCTATTCATTACAGCTCAGTTTGGAGAGGAGGCGACAGATGAAGAGGATGAAGCTCGTCTTGATGCCAGAGACCTTTATAGCTTATTTGTGGTAGACAATATATCCTCAGCCCAAACATCTGTCTAGATTGCAGCCAAATGCACCATACAGAGGAGAATTACAATAAATGATGACTCTTTTTTTGAATATTTTACTTCAAATGAGATCAAGACAGTGTGATTCAAAATATTTTAAATCAAGCTGAAAAAGCTGCAGTGTTCTTGGTAACCACATATTCATCATCATCAATCATCATCATCATCATCTATGGGAATATTTATTCTTTGAACAGCTTGAAAGAGCCAAGCTTTAATGTGCCCGGTTACCCTCGCCTAACACAGGTCGGCTTATAAATACAAAAACACAGCAGCACAATTGAAGAGCGAGTTCTGCACTTCAAAGGTGAGAAAATGGAGTGGAGTTCAACACGACGTCACTTTAGTAGCTTTTTGTGTGAAGTTGGGAAATGCACCGGAGCATGAAAATGTAAAATAACATTTCATTATGTTGTAGGTGGGACAAATGTACTTTGTAATGCGGCAAACTAATGCTATCTATTCATTTCCTATCAGCACACATTTTATCATGTGTGTACTGTCTCATTTGTTTAGTTTACCTTCAAAATCCTGTTATTAAACACTAAATGACTCCGTTCTGTTCGGTCAGTCATCGGCAGACACACTGTCTGAGGAACTATCAAGGTCTTGGTGAGAAACAACACGACTGGCTGTGGACTTGTGTGTGTTTGCCAAGCCTTCTCTGCTGTGCCATATCAGTGTGAGTATTTGTGACTGCAGATAGCTCAGTTTTTACTCTTTAAATAAGCACTAAAGATTAGATTACAGGTCATTTAAAGGACGTGCAATCCATTTAATATGCCCTATACAGTAACCACACATACGTACACTAGGGATGGGAACGATTAATCGAATATTCGAAATTATTCAGGTATTCGAATATGAGAATTATGAGTTATGAATATTTGTATTGTCATTTATTTATTTTTATAATAATGTTTTTTTGGGTGGGGTGCCTAAGTTGATTACATATTATCAAATGGAGTAATTCAATGTATACGACAGTGCCATAGCTAAGTGTGTTAGGTCTAAAGGTTTGTTTTGCTCCGCTCACCGGTCCCTCACAGCGGGCAGAGCTGCAGGTGCTGGTCTCTCTCTCTCTCGCGTAAGGTTATACTTCACTCGCGTTTATATCCAAATCCATCAGAAAACCAAGTTATGTTTTAAGCATGAAAGCTGTAGGCCTATAGCTGTCAACTGTTCAAACTGTGATCACCAGTTCAATACATTTGACGAATTCGACTTGGTTTCTATACTTATTTGAACATGTATTTATTTATTTTTCAAAATTAAAAAACATTTTTTTGTAAAAATGTTTCCCACATTTTTTTTTTTTTTATAGGATATGTATATTTCGGTTTATCGGTTAACCGTTTTTTGGGGGATTGAATATTCGAATGT